AGTTTGAATTATTTTTTGGAACACATTTATCATTCTGATAGGCTTGTAGATTACTCACCTCCACCATGGCATGTACATGTTTGTTGATTGTTTCTGGATCTGGTGGTGTATTGACTCCAGATGCCCAATCAGCAAACACTGCTGGTTTTGTCGGTGTTGGTGGCTGTCATGAAATACACATAAACACTAATTGTAATTTACAGAATCATCTTAAAAAATATCATTTTATTTATAAAATATACACATGATATATATAAGTTTCAGATTTAATGCATGAGCAGATTTTCAGTTGAATGGTCAAAGTTGTCAATGCTGGTAGAATGGTAAAAGTTGTCAATGCCGGTAGAATGGTAAAAGTTGACAATAGCGACAGGATGGTAAAGTTGTCAATTGAAACAGAATAGTCAAAGTTGACAATAGCGACAGAATCGTCAAAGTTGTCAATAGCGACAGAATTGTCAAAGTTGTCAATTGAGACAGAATGGTCAAAGTTGTCAATGCCGGTCGAATGGTCAAAGTTGTCAATAGCGACAGAATGGTCAAAGTTGTCAATGGAGACGGAATGGTCAAAGTTGGCAATGGTGATGGAATGATCAAAGTTGTCAATAGTGGCAGAATGGTCAAAGTTGTCAATGGTGGCGGAATGGTCAAAGTTGTCGATGGAGAAGGGATGGTCAAAGTTGACAATAGCGACAGAATGGTCAAGTTGTCAATTGAGACAGAATGGTCAAAGTTGTCAATGGAGACAGAATGGTCAAAGTTGCCAATGGAGATGGAATGGTCAAAGTTTGTAATGGTGATGGAAAGGTCAAAGTTGTCAATAGTGGCGGAATGGTCAAAGTTGTCAATGGAGACAGAATGGTCAAAGTTTGCAATGGTGATGGAATGGTCAAAGTTTGCAATGGTGATGGAATGGTCAAAGTTGACAATGGTGATGGAATGGTAAAAGTTTTTCAATTGCGACAGAATGGTCAAAATTTACAATAATGATGGAATGGTCAAAGTTTTTCAATGGCGAAGGAATGGTCAAAGTTGTCAATGGAGACAGAATGGTAAAAGTTGTCAATGGCAATAGAATGGTCAAAGTTGACAATGGCGGCGAAATTGTCAAAGTTGTAAACTGCAATGTCCTTTAATTTACCCCTTATTTCTAAGCTTGATTATTTTCATTTTCAGTTCGAAAAAACATCTGACCATATTTTTGTATTAGAGGCAAATCTCCAATATGCCCGCTAAATTGTTTATTTAACAAAAATTTTTTCTATGCATTTGAAAATTAAAGTGAATACATACCGAACTGGTTGATGTACGTGGCTCCCTGGCGATAGATAATTCATATATCTCATCTTCTGTGTAATGCAAATCAAGAGAAGCCTACCAAACCAAATCAAATAGACATTATAATAATATAATAAAGTTGTATTCAGGAACTGACACAGATATCCCCTATCTGGTCTTCATTTTATGATTCATAGCAGAGACATGAAAGTATAACTTAATTGCTACTAGTAAAACAACATTCCCACAAGTCTCATTAAAACATACTTTATAGATGGAAAGAAAACTGTCCCTGGCCACAACATAGTTGTAATTTTCGCTAACAGTATTTTATTGAGATTTCAAGAGATATTCTGCCTATGCACGACTCTTAAAAGTAACACATTCTAGGAATATCACTGTGACTATCTGTCTTTATAGGTACCCCAGTGAGATTATCACTGTGACTCCCTGTCTTTATAGTTACCCCAGTCAGATTATCACTGTGACTCCCTGTCTTTATAGGTACCCCAGTCAGATTATCACTGTGACTCCCTGTCTTTATAGGTACCCCAGTGAGATTATTACTGTGACTCCCTGTCTTTATAGGTACCCCAGTGACTCCCTGTCTTTTTAGGTACCTAGTGACTCCCTGTTTTTATAGGTACCCCAGTGACTCCCTGTCTTTTTAGGTACCCAGTGAGATTATCACTGTGACTCCCTGTTTTTATTGGTACCCCAGTGACTCACTATCTTTATAGGTACCCCAGTG